GCTTTAACCAATACAGAAGAGGGGAGAGGTGGAAGACAGCTTCGGTCAATGACAGCTGTACAAACGCGAACACCAGAAGTTGACGGGAGACCCCTTGAGTGAGGTTATTACGCTTCACAGGGCACGATAATTGAACACCCTGTCTAACCCCCTCCTACCCCCCCTGCTCTGTATTGGTTTAACCGCTGTTGACTATGACTGCCAACACCTATTAATACTCTGAGGTGCGGTTCAATTACCACCTCTGATGACGGAAGCCTGTTCCCGAGATCATATCTTCTCATTTATGTCCGGGGACGCGCATCTTCGCTTCTATTAGCAATATATACATATATATTATGAAGAAAATAAGAGGATCTTCGGAAAAATCAAGATGTTCTTGTGAATGTTCGAGCCCGTGACGCGTGCTCTCCATCAGGCGAAATAAAGTGGAGTAAGGGAGAAGGAATACAGCAGACAGTTTAAGCGACCAGAATAGGTTAGACTAATGGCGTTTGAAGTAAGTTATAGTTTGCGAGTGGGAGGGGTAGGGTGGCTAGTGGAAAGGTGGATGTGACGGTGAGGCTGTGTGTTTGTGGCCGGCGTGCTGTTGGAAGATGGAAGGCGGGTGGTGGGTCGGTGATGTGGTCGTCGGTGTATTAATAGGACGGGGTACGGTAAGTTTGGATCTCAAGCCACCGTATTGCTCATTCATATCGACGTGCCGGTTGATACTGCCCGCCGTAGAGTACCAAGCCTCAAGAAATTCACGCGCTCGTCTTGTGTTGGCCATGGCGACGATGTCTTTGATACGGATACCTAGGAGTCGACTTGTGTGTCCAACATACGCGCAAGAGCTCTATGCACACGGTATGCGTTAAACCAAATTGGATTGTTTTTCCTTTGCTATAGGGTCCTCTATACGTGATAGCGCTGCTGAGAGCATGGAGGTTCGTCGAAGGTAGGCAGAGATTTAAAACCTTAAACTAAACGATCAATAGCTAAAGTGCCATGTTTGGAAATTTCAAGGAGGTTTTTTGACGTAGCAACCTCGGCTACAGCGTGACAATGGTTGACGTGTTTCTGCTACATAATCTTAGCTTGACAAATTCAACCTGATTAGCATGTGTTGCCGGAGAGAAGAAAAACGTTCAAGCTCATAGAGAGTCATAAAAATTAATTCCACGTTTCAGCTGCGACCCTTCAGGACAAAATTAGAACAGTAATAAAGCTGCCAAAAGTTCGAGAAAATAAGACATACCCTCAATGACCGCAAAAACTGCGGAGGATCCACCCGTGACATCAGTTAGTTTTTGCGACTTGTTTGTGTCAGCATTGTACCGGCTGAGCAACATATGCTCTGACGTCGTTGAAGTATTAAGGAGACCGATGGTACCCAATTTCCCTCTGCACCTATCATTAAATGGACATTGTCTATCCGCTCTCCAGGATGGCCTTTCAATCCAATTGCTTATACGAC